TTTATCTGTGACCTTAAGATCACCAGTTCCAAGAAGGGTCAACAGTTCCAAGAAGGCTCCACACCCATTGCACCATTCAGATGACCCCGAGGACACAGAACTGAAGAAGCTTCTTGGATGAGAAGCAAAACGTCTTCAAGGGAAAAACAAAGAAAGTCCAGTTGCCTTTTGCAAAAGTACCCTTGGAGCAATCAAGGCCTGAGTGATGGTAGAATGTCCATTAGACATTCATGAAAAATGGAGAATAGTCTTTTTTTAACAATGTATACATTTTCCTTTAATATATATGGGTGCTTAATAAACAGTGTATTGTCTGAGTCAATTTACATATTAATAAGACTAATATTATTTGTGGTGCATTTTTGAATGTTCAGTTGACTGAGTTTCATGTTTAATGAATAAAGTATATAAAAATAATCTCTACTTGTATATAATGATATTCCTCCAACTTCTAATTCCTGCCTCTATTATCTAACCATTGTAAAACAAATCCCAAGTTAAAAAACATTCTGAATCATCTTTATCCTTTATCTTTAATGTTAACCTATCCATTTCTGCACAATCTAACATTTTTTAAATTATATTTTCATCTGTAGGAATTTCCTCATTTTTCCCATGTTGTGCAAATACAATTCTCACTGCTGTCAAAGCATGTAATATTCAATATACATGCCCTTTGTCACATTTTTCTGGCAATATACCTAACAAAAATATTTCTGACTTTAAATATATATGTTGCTTAACTGTGTTCTCTAACCATGTATGTATTATCCAAAATGGAGAATAGCCTTGACTTGGGTGTCCATCTAAGCGGGACTTGTTCCCATAGCTTGATTGGGAACCACGGTTGAAGTATTTGTGATAGCCTAGCTCAGACAAGTTGCACGACGGATGTGTTGCCATCAGATAGGTAAAGGTAAAGGGTTCCCCTTGCATATATGTGCTAGTCGCTTCTGACTCTAGGGGGCGATGCTCATCTCCATTACAAAGCAGAAGAGCCAGCGCTGTCCGAAGACGTCTCCGTGGTCATGTGGCCGGCATGACTAAATGCCTTTGAAGGCACACGGAACGCTGTTATCTTCCCACCAAAGGGGTCCCTATTTTTCTACTTGCATTTTTAGGTGCTTTCGAACTGCTAGGTTGGCAGAAGCTGGGACAAGTAACAGGAGCTCACTCCATTCCGCGGCGCTGGGGATTCGAACCGCCAAACTGCTGACCTTTCCAATTGACAATCTCAGCATCTTAGCCACTGAGCCACCATGTCCCACCAGATAGTGAATCCCGAATTCACCTACCTAAATCCTACCCATTTTAGCCTAGCATGTTCTACAGTCAATCTCGGTCTTGTAATTGGTTTTTCCTGTACAACAAAGGTTTGTTTTTAAATGTGTATGAGAGTCATAAGAACTGAATTGTGGTGATTATTATTATCATCTCTATCCTAGGGGCGCAAACCTGGCTATTTCTCTTTTCTGGATCCATTTTCTCCTGGGGTTTGGCTCTTCATGTTACTTGCCTACCTTGCAGTGAGCTGCGTCCTCTTCTTGGTGGCCCGGTACAGTTAATTTTTCATTCTATGTCTATTCCCTATCCTCACAGTGACACTTACTGGCAACGTCTAAGAACTACATGGAGAAATCTAATGTGGGTTGCTTTGTCCATGGTTTATGAGGGATGGATGGATGGAATGTTTATGTCTATTGACTTTACAATCAGCTCCAGGAAAAAAAAAAAAAAAACACAGTTCTTGCTCGAGGTCACCATGAGACTCTTTTAAGTTGAGTTCAACTCCTGTATTTATTTCCTATCCTACCTTTCCTTCAGGGAGCTCAAGGTGGCATTGCATAGTAATTGCTCCCTCCTACTTTCCCCCCATATGCGTTCAGTGACATAGGTTGGACTAATAAAAGTGATCAGCCTTGGCTGTAGGTGAATCTGAATCCAGATCTCTTTGGTCCTAGCACATTGCCCTAACAACTGTACTGTAAGCCACTCAGCCATCAGTTTTCATGGTAACCATATGGGTGTGTTTTGGTACTGCCTTTTGGTGGAATGGGTTTTTTGCCCTCAACTTCCCAGTCTAACCTCTGGGGCCCATTTTCGGCCTCCGGAGGCCCTCCAGAACCTGGGGAGGCTGTTTTCTCCCTCCTGGAGGCTCAAGGAAAGCCGCCAGAGCCCAGGGAGAGTGAAAATCTCCCCACCCCACCATGGTGCAGGAGGCCGACTAGGCCACACCCACCATGGCCACGCCCGCCCAGCAACCCAGCAGAGAACCGGTTGCTAAAATTTTTGAAGCCCACCCCGGAGCAGCCAAATGACATGAACTAGGACTGACGTATGTGATCATCCAAAAATCCCGGAGCCGTAGCTAGTTTGGGAATCTGGAAGGAAATGAAAACCCACTTCTTATGTCTATCTCGGGATCCATACTCAAATAACCCCGCAATTGGATTTCCACAATGCGTTCTGCAGTTGCAGAACAACAAAACGGGATGTGACACAAATCCCAAAAGAATGTTGGGATTCTGGGAGTTGATGTGGCCACATTTGAACGGCAAGTCTAATGTCCCTATGAAACGGTGAATAGTAAGATTTGCTTTATTACAAATCATCTGCCCCTGGATTGATGTATCAAGCCTCATGTGACCTATGGGGACGTTTTACTGAGTGTTGCCCTACAGGAGCAGAGACCATTTCAGAGTATTTGTGGCCCCTGACCCCTGCATACTAATATCCTTCGAGTTCTCCTGACGTTTTTTTGCAGGCCAACTAAAATTTCTCCTTTCCCACAGTGGCCAGTTGATCTGATCAGCTGGCGAGTAGGATATAACTAAGGAGCAACCCATTGCTTATTAAGATACCCTTTGTTGAAACGGAAGGTCACACACAAAACTTCACTGCCCAAATAATAAATGACACACGATCTTCCACAGAGGAAGGAAAATCCTAAATCCTTCCATGCTGAAAGGCACTAATTGTTTTGTCTGTCCCATAAAATGCAGACACCCTAATTGCCGAATGGCTGTTCCCTCTGAAGGCAGGGAATCATGAACAGAAGCCAATATATGTCTTATTAAGGTTGATTTGAAGTTAGGCTGGACAGATTATTCCCCAACAAAGGCGCTGAGATATCTAGAAAGGGATGTAAGACATTAGCTTCAACAGAACCAGATGGCAGACTGCTGTGTTTGGGTATGTATTCCTCTGCAGAAAATCAGAACTGGGTGTCTAAGCCAATAAAAATAGAAATCTAGATTGCAGATTCAATACAAATCCAATTATGCTGTATGGGGATGAGACAGAAAGCAAAGATTTTCCGGAATAAAAAAAATGAGTATTTTTTTTATTGGCGACAATTATCTTTTGGCAGCTTCAGAGTGAAATTATCAAACTAGGCTGAGCATCCTCTCTGGAAAAATATTGCATAAACAAACAAGTCTCCTGTCCTGTCGGATTATAACCTGTGTTTGCTTAGATACACAACAACAAAAACTGGGGAACCTTTGTATTGATTTGACCTCCAGTCACATGTGAGATGTACTTATAAAGGTGCTTCTAAGGCAGCTTTGAAGCTGCAGGTGTACTTCAGGTGAGGTTCGTTTGCATTTGGTGTTCACGATTGAACACCTGCATTTCCACAGGAATAGATCCGATGTTGGCTGGGAAATTTTGGTTGCGTGCCTAAAAATAATAATTAGTGGAGAGAGAGAAAAAAATATCCTGCTGAATTGGATAGAAAGGGTTCTAAGTAAATGTGGGTAGAATTGCACCATCAGTCAATTAATAGAGCAACAGGAATGACATGAGGTTCATCTAAGGCTACGATCACCAATCATTTTATTTCAAATATAAGAGATCGCATTATTTCTAAACACAATACAAATACAACTCTTAACCTTTGATGAATTAAAACAGAAGACACTATGTGCTATGTTTTCTTCAACATGAATTAGAACTATTGGTAAATATATAGCCTCATTCTAAAGATCAGCATAATTTTTTTATTTGACAAATGCCCAGAATTTCTATAAATTAGGGAAAAAAAGAAATCTAAGAAGGTTAAATCTAAATTTTTGGAAGTTTTGCTGTATAGGTGGTTGTGCTGGATTGTAGATCTTCCCTGCAACCATTACCTGTTTTTAATAGAAATAGAATTTTCACATCCTCCCTCACTGCAATTCTTTCCGATCAAAACAGGATCGCGTCTCTCCAGTTTTCACAAGGGACGCTACCGATTTTCACTCTTTGTAGATGCATATGAAGCCTACACAGCTGTAATGCTGGTCACCTTTGGGGGCCTCTCAGCGCAACTAAAGCTGTCAGATTCAGGAGCTCCTAAAGGTTTTCAGCAACACGCAGGCTTTGAAACCACTTACAACCCAGTTGGAGCCTGTTGGCACAAAGATACGGCTGCTCCCGATAACGTTTTCTGAACGCGCCTGCCCCGATGACATGGGGCTTCAGATAACCGACATCCAGTGTCAGGTGGCTGACTGTGAGGGGAGGGAAAAAAAACCTATCAAATGATACCCCTGAGTAGTAACTACTCTTCTAGAATGAGAAAGGCGATGGCTGTGTAAAAGAACGTGCTTTTAAATCAGCGGTCTTCAATCCCCCGGTCCATAGACCGGCATTGTACAATGGGCCAGGGGTGGGATTCAAAAAATTTTTACTACCGGTTCTGTGGGCCTGGCTTGGTGAGTGTCGCATGGCTTGGTGGGCATGGTGTGTCTTGGTGGACGTGGCAGGGGAAGGATACACTGCAAAATCCCCCTTCCCTCCCCACCCCACTAACCTGCTTTCCAGCTCTGTTCTCCTGTGCAGGGCAACCAAAGAAGACCCAGCCGATCAGCTGGGACTCAATGGGAGGCAGAGAAGAAGAGATGGGGTTGGCGGGGCCAGTCAGAGGTGCCAATAGCCGCTTCTCCGAACTACTCAAAATTTCTGCTACTGGTTCTTTAGAACTGGTCCGAACCGGCTAAATACCCACCTCTGAATCGTATGATATGCCATTCCGTGGCAAGACCTCCTCTTGAGAAATGATGCATCCGGGGACATCCTATCACTCTTGCTTCTATGGCACCCTGTGTTTGTATGCCAGTATAACCGGATGTGTTGTGTTTTGATGCTGCAGACTGACCCCCTACGAGTGGTACAGCCCCCATCCCTGTTCTCAAGGGCGATGCAATCTACTGGTGAATCAGTATTCCCTGGGCAACAGCCTGTGGTTTCCTGTCGGTGGATTCATGCAACAGGGATCGACGATTGCCCCACGAGCTTTGTCCACCCGCTGTGTCAGTGGAGTCTGGTAAGAAAATGGAGGGTGGCGGAAAGAAATCGTGTTTCTTCTTGAGGTGGTTCCATAGAATGTTATTGACATGGGTTGTTGGCGGGGTGAGAGCTTTGGTAACATCAACCAATCAGTCAGTGTTTGGAATACTCTACCTGATTCTGCGGTTTCTTCCCCAAACCCCCAAAACTTTAACCTTAGACTGTCTACTATTGACCTCACCCCCTTCCTAAGAGGCCTGTAGGGGTCGTGCGTAAGCACACCAACGTGCCTACCGTCCCTGTCCTATTGTTTCTTTTTATTTTTCTTATAAGTATCTATCTCATGTATTCAAAACTATGTTTATTCTTATTCCTGTATCTTGTAAGCGATTGACAAATCAAATAAATATTAAAAAAAAAACCTACTAAAAAAACAACCCATCAGTGTAGAGTTGGAAGGAACCTTGGAGGTCTTCTAGCCCAACCTCTTGCTCAAGCAGGAAGACCTAGACTATTTCAATCAATCAATCAATCAGAATAGAGTTGGAAGGGTCCTTACACGTCATCTAGTACAACCCCCCACCTATGCGGGAGACCCTACACCATTTCTGACAAATGGCAGTCCAATCTCTTCTTGAAGGTCTCAAGTGATGAAACTCCCACAACTTCCAAGGGCAACTTTTGTTCCATGGGTTGATTGTTCTCACTGTCAGAAAGTTTCTCCTTATTTCCAGGTTAAATCTCTCCTTGTTCAGTTTCCATCCATTATTCCTTGTCTGACCTTCAGGAGCCTTGGAAAATAGCTTAACCCCTTCCTCCTCCTCTCTGTGGCAGCCCCTCAAATATTGGAAGGCTGCTCTCCTGTCTCCCCTGGTCCTTCTCTTTGCTAGACTAGCCAGGCCCAGTTCCTGTAACCGTTCTTCATATGTTTTAGCCTCCAGTCCCCTAATCATCCTGATTGCTCTTCTCTGCACTCTTTCTAGAGTCTCGACATCTTTTTTATAATGTGGTGACCAAAACTGGATGCAGTACTCTAGGTGTGGTCTTACTAAGGCTTTATAGAGTGGTATTAGTACCTCCCTTGCTCTTGATTCTATCCCTCTGTTAATGCAATTTAGGATTGCATTGGCTTTTTTGGCTGCTGCTGCACATGGGTTGTTCCTACTTAGCTGGTTGTCCACTAAGACTCCAAGATCCCTAAGACACATTTCAATCAATCAATCAATCAATCAGAATAGAGCTGGAAGGGACCCTGAAGATCTTCTAGTCCAGCCCCCTGCTTGAGCAGGAGATCCTCGACCATTTCAGATATGTGACTGTCCAGTCTCTTCCTAAAAACTTCCAGTGATGAAGCGTCCATAACTTCTGAAGGCAACTTCTGTTCCACTGGTTAATTGTCCTCCCTGTTTGGAAGTTTCTCCCTGATTCCAGGTTGCTTCTCTCCTTGTTTAGTTTCTATCCATTGTTTCTTGCCCTGCCCAAATAAGTTGACTCCCTCCTCTTTGTGGCAGCCTCTCAAATACTGGAATACTGCTGTGATCTTCCCCCACCCTGCAGTCCTTCTCTCTCGACTACCCAAATCCAAATAATAGCGAAGACAGACGATGCAATAGCAACTGAGACACTTAATGGCACTCTAGGTTCAGATATTCCCCTGTTAATATGTTTGGAGAAGCTTTATATACTCATATTTCCCAATGATTAAGTGAACCCATTTTCCATAATCCTTCAAGATTTTTTTTAAATTAAATTCTAAACAAAACTATTAGTTCACCGTGCTAGCATGAAATCTGATGATCTATTTGGTATCCCCCAGAGTTTATTGGCATTAATGTTTTTGCTCTTAGTTGCAGATTGAATCTCGGGAATCTAGAAGCAGCAGAGGGTAACAAAGGAGATAGATAAAAACAGACTTTTCTCCTAAGAAAAAAACACGAAATTTCTCTATTACATGGTTTTCTGGTTCTTAGCTAGTGTACAATATATCTCAATACCAGTAACTGTGTAAAACCTAACCTCCACAACCATTGATTCTGTCATGCCCTTGGGTTTCGTTGTTAAAATAAAGAAGTCAGAAACATCCTGAAACTTTAATAACAAAATAATTTATGCACAGTAATAATTTGGGATCCAATTGTTGTGGTCCGCCGGCAGCCTGCGGAGATGGCAGCAGAATTGGACAGTGGGGAAGAACATGGGCCAATCCGGGAGTCTCGGAAGGACTCGGATGAGGGTCCTGCGTCCTATGCAGAGTTGGGGCCAGGACCTTCTGGGAGTGGGTTGCTGCCTCTGGAGCCTTTGGAGTCTGGCAGCAGCGAGGCAGAGGAACAGGGGGAGCTTGTTTCCAGTACGTATGTACACAGAGCTGCTAGGAGGCAAGAGCAGCTAAAACAAAAGGGGCGATTCGGGAGTAAGGCTTGGAGGTGATTGCCCCTCCCATAAGACATAATGGAAGTGCAAAGGGACAGGAACCTTTGCAGGAAGCAACTTTGTTTGCTCTGTTCGGATTCAACCTTGAAGCTCTGTGTGAACTTTGTACTTCAGTTGGTTTTTTTACAGCTAATTTGGCACTTTAGTTGTTGGCTGCAATTCAAAGGAGAGAAAGGTGGGTGCTTATCTTGAGGGACTGTTTGGGACTCATTATGAGCTGGGAATGAACATAATTCCCAGTGTTGAAATAAAACAAGAATTGTTTGGACTAAGCATGTGCTTAATTACAGTCTCAGGAAGCCTTGGTCGGGACACCAATGATCCCACTAGTAGAAGAAATAAATCTTGCAATGCTGCCTTCTGTATCCAACCCGACCTTTACCAGCCTCTGATGTGCAGAGGAAATAGCATTAGATGAGCAAAATTAGTTCTTCTTCCAGATGTTTGAGGATTACATCTCAATTCCCGGACTTCAGCCAGAATGGTGAGAATTCCCGGTTGCTCTTTCTGCACATCTGGAAGGAATCAAGTTCCAACAGGCTGCTTTGTAAGATGTCCATTGATTCTAGAACACATGCCTGTATTTTACACAGATTAAGGCTTTTTTTCCCCCACTTAATCCAGCCCGTTCTTGATATATTGACGTCTTAGATAGTCATAGATGTTTAGCACCATTCAGAAAGGAAGGGATTGCTCTTAAGTTGCAAAGCCCAGATCATTCCCATTCTGTCTTTTGTTTCTTTTTCTTCCACTCAAGGTGGGCTTTTACCTTGATCATCATCTCCTCCTATACGGCTAACCTGGCAGCTTTTCTCACCGTGCAGCGCATGGACGTACCCATTGAATCTGTCGACGATCTGGCTGATCAGACAGCGATTGAGTATGGCACAATCCATGGAGGCTCCAGCATGACATTTTTCCAAGTAAGTCCTTTGGGTCCCGAGGCCAGAATTCATTTTTAGAATAGAGTAGAGTAGGGTAGCATAGCGTAGAGTAGAGTAGAGTAGAGTAGAGTAGAGTAGAGTAGAGTAGAGTAGAGT